GCCTGTAACTCCCATTGGCTTCTGCCAGCGTAGCCTATGAGGAGGGACTATGGGAACTGTAGGCCAGAATGTCTGGAGCTGTATCAGTGCTTAGTAAATGAATTTTCTCTGGCTTCTATCCCAGTGGATGTATAACTGCTGTACTTTTCGGGAGATAAGGCATTGATTTGATTTGACTCAATCAACTCAAAACACAAGCTGATTTGAGGCAGTTTTATATCTGTACCAGAAGTGAACCCAAACACAGAGCGAGTCAGAAGGGACCTCCCTGGCCATCTAGTCTGACCCCCCGCTCTAGCCAGTTCCGCTCACGACATGCTGAGAAAGGAAACCCAGTCTTGGAGAGGCAGGCAAAATCATAGACATGTATTGATTTACTGGTACAATGTCCAGCTTCAAAAAGCTGGCCCTGGATATTTTGCTTATTGAGATAGAAGAGTGAATGCTACTCCATCACACAAATATAAGTCAAAGTGCATAGACCTCTGAAGCAAATTATTTTGGCACCTGAGACAGAAAACCCAGAAATGCCCTCCCCATCCATGGCACTAAAAACACAGCAGTAACCATTTGCTGCCTTTTGTGACTCCCAAAAAATTCTGCCTGAGGCAGCCGCCTGGCTCTGCCTAATGGAAAGGCCCACCCGAGATTAAGTGCCTCTTTTCTCTTTGTACATCCTGGAGCTGCAGTTACTGCTATGCCATAGAAAACAATGGAGAAAGCCAGGTTTTTGTTGCATTTGGAAGTTAATTCTTTTTTTCTTGTCTTTTGTCTCAAAAATGGTACTTGTTCTTGAAGAAATGCAAGGCAGCTGCATGTAAGTCAACGGAGCACACACTTCAGTGGGTATTAGCACAGACAAAGCCGTATCAGACCCCTTCCTATTGACTGCAATCCTGGATTTTTCCATTGTTTTTATAGCCTGGGGGAAGAAGTCTGCTTATGGGACATACCATGAAATGAAGCTGAGAAGTTCTCTGTCTCAACAAGCCGCTTGTCCGCCAAATCAATGGCCCTCCAGATGTTTGGGGCCTGTGTTTGGCTATGGTGGCTAGGACTAATGGGAACTGTAGCAAAAGCATCTGGCAGGATGCAGGTTGCTTGCTTTTTTACAGGCAGAGAGACCGCTTCCTTTGCAGAAAGAGAAAAGGGGCAGAGGAGATGGCTGTGCACTGGGCGTTCTTCTGTCCCCTGTGGTGTCTTGTAAGGACAAATCCTTAAAGGGGAGCACATGGTTACTTTTTTACTCTATTTTTTAACCTCTATTTATAGGGAGAGGTGCATGTAGGATTTTCTCTTAGGTCGAAATCGTTTTGTAGGGCTTTGGTACTCCGTTGTGCCTTGATTTGAATGGGGCAGGAGACTTTGCTGTTCTGCCTCATACCCTTCACATCTTGGGCCACCCCCCTTCTCTAGGCTTTGAAAGTGACATCCTGGGGCAAGAGAAGTTCTTGCAACGCACTTGCTTCCCTCTGTTCCCCTGCACTGATTAAAAAGGCTTCTTGGATTGGGCTGAATTAAAGGAATGGGGTCCATGGAGGAGGAGTCTTCCCCCAGCAAACAAATAATGGTGGCTGCTTTCAAACTTTGGCAAAAATGTGGCAATGATGGCAGCAAGCAGCTCTGCCCATGCCTGTTTGGACCTTCATCTGAGGGCAAAGAAGCTAATCCAATTCAAGGGTGTGCTAATTTGGAATTTCTAATCTTTTTTGTCGTATAAATTTATTTTTATTCTTCAACCAGCAATGACTGGCTTGTATGATGAACTACACATCCTGAGAAGGTTTGAAGAAGTCATGGGTAGCTGGTCAGTGAAGCACTCATGAACTTGTTGCCCCTTACCTGGATTCTTTTGGCACAGCCTCCCCAGTATAGGCTCAAAAATAAAGATGTAAGAATTGCTTGGCTGGCTTATGGCAGAACCCACGTGCATCCGTGGCAGAAAATTGCAGAGGCTCCATCACAGTTAATAAATAGCCTTTGACCCATTCATTGTCTATGAATTGTCTATGATTTTTTTTTCTTAAAAAAATCTGGGTGAGTGCCTACCACCTTGTTTTGAAATCTAATCAGTGAATGATGCACTCTGAATAAATATTGCCCTTTATCAGTCCTCCTGACTCCACTCCCATATGTTTTGTTGCTTGTTGCCAAGTCCCAGCAGTGTGAGAGGGGAGACTGGCACTTGCTTCAGAGGTTTATGAACTGGCTAGTTCCTGTTCCTCATAAACACACACTAATTTACTTCCTAAGCTAGAAAGTTGCAAACTTCAGCATTTTTCTTGTAGGGTGGTATCCAGGGGAATTTTTTACAATTTGGCTGTAGCTACTTGCCTATCAAATTAACAGGCGGGGAAGGCAGGAGTAGAAGTTTATTTTTAATTCTATTTTTGTAATCAGTATTTTGGTAATGTTAATTGTAATTTCTAATCTGCCCAAGAAGCCTTTATGGCTAATGAGGCTGGATAAAAATAAAATAAATAAATGAATAGTTGTGGAAGTAGCTGTAGCCATGATTTTAGTATCTTCTTTGAGCTATGCCATTTTGGTCTTCCAAAGTGGTACAGTATTTGGTGATTGTTTAAAAAACTGGCATTTGAAGACTAAGTTGTGGACTGTGCTACATTGGAGGTATATCAAAATGTTTTGTATGTTAACATTTCGAATATCCTCTTTTGAAATCACAAGAACTAGTGACTTGATAACGAGAATGAAGATGAAATGTTTATGTTTTGAATAGGACACACAGAAGTACTGAAGCTATACAGAAATAGAAAGCAGTTTCTTAAACCTTGAAAAGGGCAATCCCTTTCCAGCTACAAAAGCCCAATGAAGATGTAGCATATTCTACTGCCTCCATGAATTGCAAACAGTTGAGCACTAACTGGTCAAGCCTGGAAATGAAGCAAGAGCAGATCTTCCTGTTGAACATCTGCCTGGCATGCAACTACTTAAGCTGACAGAGTGCTCTTGTGCCCCCGCCCCAAGGGGAAGTGGCAACTGTAAGTCTCAGTGGGGTGTTGGCAGGCTCGAGTAGCTGACTTGTGACCTCTAGGCCACTCTTTCTGAGTCTTCCTTTCTTTTGGCCCTGGATTTCTTGGATGAGTTTCAGCACCGTCTGTTGAGCTGCCAATCCTGGCAGTGGGGAAGCGGAGGCGCCAGCAGGGACAGAACTTTGGCCTGCAACAGCTTGCTCTAGTCCAAGGTTGGAGCCACTCTCTGCTCCTTGGCCTCACCAAACAACAGTATAGAGCTTCCCGACCTGGGCCTGAGCCTTCCTGCCCTGGAGGAGGGCAGAAGGCTGGGCACACAGCTTGAGGGCCAAACCATCTTTGAGGCAGGCCTTAAAGAAATGGTCTCCCATGAGCTGCTGTGCCATGCAGCTGCCCCTTCCAAGGTGTGCAAGCACCCTGCAGTTTGTTGGGCTGGTCAGCAAAATCTCTCTGGGAGCAAGTGGTAAAAGCATCCAAAAAAGCCAGCAAATTTTGGTGAGGAGGCACCACAGGGATCGGTGGTTTGCCACTGAAAACACTCATGCACCTGTGCTCTTGTCGGATTTTGTACTGCCCTGCCCTGCTTGGCAGCCTCTGCCATGGTCTCCTTCACCTCTGCATGTGCTGATCTTGCCAGGCTTTGCATCCCATTCCATCCTGTGTAGCATCCTGAAGAAATTGTTAGGCCTAGTTTTACTGAAACTGCCTGAGATATTTAAACTATTTTATATTGTATATATTGGAATTTTAGTCTGGCTTCAATTGGCATAATGCAATTTTATACTGTCCCTTACTGCATCAGTATTTATTGTATCTCTTTTTTTATTGTACTTCAAGAACGGTTCAGAGAGCTTTGGATACTGGGCAGTGTAGAAATAAAATAAGAAAATAAAGTCTTTCCCAATTGATCTCTAGTCAGCGCTGGCATCACCAGTAGGCATTGTTGCCAAAAGCCCACATCCCTGCAAAGACCCCCTGAGAAGAGACCCTGGCAAGCAGAGGTGATGTTTGCTGTTTGTTTGTTCATGGACCCTCCACTTGCCAAGCAAGCAAGTGGTAGGAGGAGGAGGAGCAGCAGCAGCAGCAATTGCAGCTGCTGGGAAGGGTTGTGAGACGGCAGAGCCCCTGAGAAGATGGGCCCATTAAAGGCATCCTGCCCCAGGACCCTCCAAAAGCTGGGGTGGCCACTGTCTCTAGTAACTTGTTTCCTTCATGTGAATGGATCTGCCTGGCAGCTGATTCTCTATCTGTCCCTAACTCTGGATAACAGAAACAGTAAAGCGAAATGGAGATTGGTTTAAAGCAGCCTTCCCTCAGTGCAGTGCCCTCCAAATGCATTGGGCTTGAACTCCCAACAGCCTCCTCAGCTGCCTAGAAATGATGGGAGTTGTAGTGCAGCATCGGGAGAGCACCAGGCTGAAGGAAGGCTGGCTTAAGTTTTGGGCATGGACTTTGAGTCACATCACTAGTTTGCTTCTGGTTTTCCATGCTAGTAAATTTGGAAGCCAGCATTGTCTAATGGTAAAGGGTCAAAGGGACTGTGGAGATGAGGAATCAAGTCCCAACTCTGCCATGAAGCTCACTCTGTTATGTCAGGTCAGTCATTGTTGCTAGCTTATCCTACTACAGAGAGTGGTTGTGAGCATAAAATGAAAATGAAAAGAACTGTGTGCATTGCCTTGGGCTCCTTGGAGGAAAAGTTAGGATATAAATGGAATGAGAGAAAAATCTCTTAATATCCATCCTTCTAAACTTTCTCTTTCATCCATCCATTTTTTCTCCCTCTGGTTATATGCATCTGCAGCCATTGTATTAAGTTGCAGGTTTTATTTTCAGCACTCTTGCCTTTCATGAATTATTTCAACTGGTTTTGTTGTGTGTGCTCACTTGCCAAAAAGAACCAAGACTGTTCATAATCAGAAAACATTTGGTAGGTTATGATCAGAATTTCCCCTCCCTTCCTCCCCACTACTCCAGCCTCCCCCAAGAAACAAAGACACATTCAGCTGAATTGAAGGTCAGGGTGACTCCTTTTTATTGCTATGTTCCATGATAAAGTCAAAAAAATGAAACAAAAAATCACAGGTGGTACAGAACCTGCACTGGGCAGAATTTGAGAGATAAGACGTGAAAGGGTGAGGATGGATTGACACAATACTCAGCATTGAGACAACACTGATGGATTTAAAGCTGAAACCCTGGAAGACAACATGTAGATTCTCCCACGGTTCTAGCAATGCAGGGATGAGTGTGCCTGAGTTAAGATAAATTTAGTTGCCCTGTGAAAACCAGGATCTGAGCAAAGGAGACATCCAATAGCCATTTGCCGTTCCATTGGATGGAGGGCACACTCTGCCTCTTTCACAGAGCTGGGGCCATTTCAAAGGTACTACCTGGAAAATTTTTATTTGGGGCCCAATTGTGTGTGTGTGTGTGTAGTGGAGGTAACTCGCAGAGTTCTTGTGGAATTGGTGGAATAGATCAGAATTCTCAGTTTTATAGAGCAGAGTTGCTACTTTACACCTGAAGCAGCATTTGTTAAGAAAACTTCACTTGCAAATTTAACACCAGCCTTCTCCTACCTGGTGCCCTCCAGATGCAATGTCAAGAACTCCCATAATCCTCCCAGTTAACAATGATAATTGGGGGATATTTAGGAGTTGTAGTCGAATACCTCTCAAAGGTGCCAGGTCGGGGGAAGGCTGTTCAACCCCATGTCAATTATTTCTCTAGGCATTCAAGAGCTGAAAATACTGTCTTCTTGGCTACAAGTTGCCCTGACTCTGGTCTGTGCATTAGTAAAGAAAGCATGAAGAAGTGCAAAAATACATTTGTCCAATAGTTCAGAAAGTAAAAAGACACAGGCTTGTAAATCCCCCTCCTATCATTCTATGAGCAAGGCAGTTACATTTATAATCTCTTAGGCATTTGCTTTGGTCTGGAAGAGACAAGAAATTGATGGCTTCATTTTGGCTAGCGATGAAATTGGCTAATGTCCTTGGGAAAAGAAACAACATTTGAATTGTTGAGTTTCATCTCTGCCTTAGTCCTAGGACACTGGTGGGGTGACACTGCAGGAGCTGTATCAGGAGTTAAACAGGACGGGCAAGATTATGGAGGGGGCAGAACTGGGGAAGAGGAAAGACAACAGCCATTATGAAGTTGGGCGGGCAGTGGGGAGGCACAGAGCATACAGAAAGTAGCTTCAAGGCCAAGTGAAAAGCTCAGCTGTAACCAAAATCCAGTAAATGGTCTCAATTGTACAGACCTACAATCTGATTGCTCATCCATCTGAAAAAAGAGACTGCCCCATCCCTTCTGAAAATGCAACAAAAACAGGACTGAAATCAGCACAGATGAAATCTCTCTGAATCAGAGTGGCTGTAACCCCAACCACTGCACAACCAGGCCTAGAGCAAGTAGATCAGGAATGACTGTTTCCCCCCACCCTCCATTAGAAACATCTTTCCTGGACTGGGCAATGTGTGGTCCTGCAGAAGTTTTTGCCTACAATTCCCATACCCTTCATCACTGGCTATGCTGGTTAGGGCTGATGGGAATTGTAGGCCACAAGCCCCATGTTTTTGGTGGCAAAAGAACGGCTCAGCCAAGGTTAGTTTCTACAGGGCAACCCAAAGCACCCAGCACAACTCGTGACATGGGAGAGAGCAGCACTGTGGATACAAGGACTGCAGCGGATGCTTCTGGGGGAGCCAAAATACCAACCAGCATGTCAGTTGCATGTATTTGGGGAAAGTATCCAAATGATTCCCCGCAAATGCCCAAGCAAATCCGACCAGTTCTGCTCCAAACCTATATCCACCTTTGAGGCTCATAAGCCTCCAGAGACCCTTCATGTTCACCTTCTAGGTGAACTGTTTCCTGTATGTTTTGTGTGTTGTGGCCAGTTCACATATGGAAGGGCCACCTCTCCCCTTACTTGCTGGTGGATGGGAAGAGGGGAGATGTTATTTCCGTTTTGGAGGTAGGAGTGGTTTGTACATCATCTCTGCAAGCCACTCATACATTGCTCAAACTGCAGAGTGTGCACACATGAAAAACATCTTTAGGAATACTGAAAGGAAATGTGTGTGAAAAGATGAAAGGGGGTCTTGTTAGGGAAGGATCTTGAGTGATCAGGGATAATAAGGCTGCAAAGCTTAATCATAGTCACTGGGGAATATCTGATTAGCTAGGGCTGAAAATAAAGATCATATTTTGTTGCTCTTTTAACTCTGATATTCTACTACCGTAAAGGAAATCATAGAGAAAGGATTCAAACATGGTCTTTCATTCTAATAGCAAGTCACAAATCTTGCCCTTATAGAGTGTAAAAAAAACCTAAAAAGGCACCAATACGCAAATATATTTGCATATATGGTAACAAGCAAATATATTTAAATTGAATTGGTCAAAAGGCAGGTGATTAACCAATTAAGAATTCCATAATCAGCTGAAATTTAAACAACAAATTAATTTATAAAGGTAGGGGAGGAAGGGGAGGAGGAGATTCCAAACTGTTTGCCCAAAAAAGTGCCAGAATGCATTAGCGTGAGAGTTCAGACATGACAATCTCCAACAGATCTTAGGCAGGAAATAGCATGCAACTTGCATGTAGCACATCGTACTTAACCGAAGTCTGCAGGATGTATTCAGCTATGAACTCAGCAAATGGAACACAAAGACAATGCTATTTCCCACTGGAAAGTAAATGCCAGCTGTTTAAAGCAGGCTTCTCTGACCTGGTGCCTCCTGAAGGGCAGGACTGCAACTCCCATTATCCCCAGCCAGCATGGCCATGGCTGCTAGGAGTCAAATGTCCTGCCTGACTGGACTATAGGTCCAATCCAATCCAATGTTCTGTTTATAGGAGAAACCAGCCCAGGTGGCTTTGAGGGCCCAAGAAAGCGCCTGCCTGCCCCGGCAACCGGGAGCCAGCAGGTCATGTGCACCAGAACAGAAAGGCTCCGCTTAGCTTTTGGTGCAGGAATTGTCATGCCTGATGCAGCTCTTGACTGGTACCTTATTTGCAAAGTAGCAGTAAAAACATGATAAAAAGCCCTGAAAGCACCAGAAGACAATGTTCAGTGTAGCCAGAGCAAGCTTTATGCAGCACACGAATTTTGGCCAGTGTGGACAGAGTGTGACTTCCTCCCTAGTCCTGTCCATTTCTCCTCCATCATCAGGTACTTGCTGCACTGGCATGATCCCCCTCACCACTACCCCCTCCCATCTCCAAACACCCCTGTTTCCTGTATCATGAGGTTGGCTTGTTATGTAATTTACTTTCTCTCTCATACCCACACACACGCAAATATATATATATATATATAAATATATATATTTATGAAACAAATATAGACAGAATATTTATAACTTTTGTCACAAAATAAAATTCTGTGATCTCTCTCTCTCTCTCTCTCTCTCTCTCTCATTCTTTCTTTGTCTAACCTACAGAAATATTAAGAAAATTAGGTATCTTTTCCCTAAGTGCTTCCTTTAAAAATAGATTACTTTCTGCAGTTTGTTGTAGATATGTGTGTGTGTGTGTACATATATATGTGTACACATATAGACATATATATGCACACACACACACACACACACACACAGTCTTTTCTCTCTCAGAAAAAGTGCAAATGAAAAGCATAGCAAAGACTTTTTAGGAGGGGCTCTAGCTACTTCATGCAGAGCAGGGTGGGAAAGGTGGGGCCCTCCATTTGTTACTGATGTACAACCCCCATCAGTTCTCCTCAGCAAGGCCAGGAATAATGGGAGCTGTCCCCCCACAGCATCAAGAGGGACCTGGGTTTTTCCCATCCCTGATCTAAAGGCAGGAGACAGGTAAGATTCAGTCAGGCAAGTAAAGAGGTTGGGATATAACCTTGCCTAGAGACAACAAGACACCTGAGTTCTCTCTTCAGCTCTGTTAAAGGAATATTCCATCCACCTCCCTCTCCCTCTTCCCAATCCCACCAGCATGGCCCAATCCATGACATAAGCAGTAGCTAATATTCAGAATGTATTATTAACTCTCTTTCGGAGTGGACTTCGGCATCTTGCTCGCCGCAGGTTCCCCAGGCAGCCCAGTGGCATGTCTTATGGCTGCCTATCTCTCAAAGGCAAAAAAGCACCCTAGGATACAGCAGCAAGGCTCTTGCTTGTGATCCTTGCCCGATAGTGATGCTCACAACTGAGAAGAGGAGTGGGACAAATGAAAGGCTGTCCACGAAGGACCTTCTCTCCACACACACCTCCCAGGGACAGCCCCGCAGTTCCTGCAACCTGCTATGTGGGTGGACGGGCACTGACATGGATGGGCTGCCAGCATTGGGCGTGATGCCAATGAGTGCACAGGACTCCCCCGCGAGGGTCATTTCATGCATGACATGAAATGGCGCAGATCCCAGGGTCCTTAGCAGTTTCTTTGTACTGCACGCATGCTTGTAAGTACCAGTCACGTTCACACCGGGTGTTCTTAGGTGTGCAACTCACTGTGCCACAAATGAATTGACTCAGGGACAATGCCTCCCTTTTTTGTGTTGATCTCCCTTGTCCGAATAATAGGATGCATTAATGCACTAAGTGAGGGAGTTTGGTGCAGGGGCCTGCAGAACGCAATATATTTCGAGAGTGTTTGGAAGAGGCAGCACATGGGCATACGCTCACTTGGTCTTGCTTCATCCTTTCTATTCCCAAATAAAACCATTTCTGTGACTTCATAATAGACTGAAACTTGGGGGTGTTTCCAACATAAGTGTTTTCTTGCAAAGCATAGCCCTGGCTAAAGGTACCATGGGACAGTTTATAGCTGGGTCTACTTATGGGTCAGACTCCAGTAACACTGAGAACAGGCTCTACATCCCTGGCTTTGACACAAGGGTAGGGAGAGGTAAGAAAATAACCCCACCCCATGTTATTACAAACTTCAGCCAAGGAAAGGCCTTGTGGTGTGGCTGCTTTCCAAATTCTGTCACTGGGGGAAGAGCTTCCGGTAACACTGTGATTGGCTGGTTAAGTGGGCCAGCAAGGGTAGCAGCTCATTTCAGCTGCTTTGCAATGCAGCAGGAGAGCAGGGCTACTCCAGGGTGTTCAAGGCAGTTTGCCATTGGAGTTTGCCATCTCAACACAACAGGGAAGAGGCCAAGAACAGAGCCCCAGTCTTCTCCGCAAACCTGGGCAGCACCCAGGAGGCCTGGTTCCCGGCACACCTTTACCCCCTCCTGATTTTTCTATCCACTACACTCTGCTTCCCTCACAGAGCCAGAGATGGAAACCAGGTGCCCGTCTCCAAGTAGTTCTGATCCAAGAGAACAGGAGATCAATCTCCTGGTCTTCAGAACCCCAAAGCCTCTAAGGGAAGCCTGCCTCCTGTGCATTTGGCTAAATATATATATATATTTATATCATGTATATATATATATAGAAATTTAAAATATTTTATCTTTAAAAAATAACTTTTCTTTTAAAAAATGTAAATCTAAGGCTCTCTTTTCCCCCCTTCCCTCCCACCACCCTCATGGTCTTTAGAACTTCCCACCTTCCACTCAGAGGCCTGAGGGCTCATCATCCCTTCCCTTAGCCAGGCTGCATGCTGGGCTCTGAAGGGGAAGGTGGAAAGTGGATAAAGAATCAGTAATGCCTTTTCCCAATGTTTGGGGAGCACCGCCCCCAACTCAGCATAGGGCAGGTGGATTGCATTCCCCCCACACACGAGCAGCCAGGGGTTGAGTGGCACAGAGAAAAGGTGCCTCTTTTGCGGGGGGGGGAGGGGTACATTGGGTGAGCATTGGTCACATGACACTTTCCAAGATGACAATTTTGGTGCTCCCGTCTGAGATGGGGGTCAGGCCAGTCAGAGCACCGACCTCTGTTTCGGGGACCTTGTATTCCAGATGGTGCAGCCCCCAGATGGGCTGGGTGAGGCGGTGCCAACGCTGCAGGGGAGAGAGGAACAGACCATGATTAAAGGGAGAACAACATCAGCTCATCAGATATGCCTTTGCCTACGACATGATCTCTGTGTCCATCCCTCCTTTTCTCTTTCATACAGTCCCACATCCTCACACACTATTTATGGAAGCACACTGCTCACATGTGCAATTCACACATCGCTCTCACATGTGCACAAGCAATGAACAGCACTTCATTCAGCTCCACCCTTTTCTGCCTACACAGCACCCCACCTCCCCTCTCCCCAGACCTGTGCACTTCCTGTAAAAACAAACAAAACTTGGGAGCAATTGGAATATTCCTCAGCATCCCTTAACATACCAGCAGTGAGCCAAGACTGAGAGCAGACTCATTCTAGTTAATTCAAACCAGAGTTCTTGCAGCTGAATTGCTGCAGAGGTTCTAAACACTACAGGATTTTCCTTCGTTGGACGTGTTTTTCACACTTGGTAAATTCACTGGTAAAACCACTGCTTTGCACAAAGTCTGCTCGTTCCAGTGTCATGTTTCTCTGCAGCCTTAAAATCTACCTTTGACTAGACAGACCAAATTGGATGCTCACTGGGTGTACACGCTGCTAGGTCTGTACTATTTTTAAAACATGTCAATGCTACATTTCTAAGACGGGTAGGAGAATTTTAAAAGAACCCAAGCACAGTGATCTACTGGAGCTGAGTGGAGGGACTGGAAGGAAGCGAGGACCTTCAACTGCACAAGCATGTCTGGAGGGCTCCTAAAGGAGCAGGTAAGATCAGCAGCAGCGCCTGCTCCACTGGGAGTGGGGAGCACACCAAAGGAGAAGGGAGACCGCGAGCTGCAGGCCCGGCCTGCTCTCAGGCATGCTGATCGTGCCCCTGCCTGGAGCAAGCTGCCACAGACTCCGGTGAGGGAACAGGGACTTGTCCTTGCTTTGCAAGGCACTCTAGCCCTTCTTTATCCAGTACTGAGTCATGTGCAAGGGGCCTTCCTCCTCTGAGCCTGGCGACTGCTCAGGTGTAGCAGACAGGAGTAACAAGTCCCAGCCTGCCAGGGGCTTCGAGACACGGTGCTGATGGCGCCATCCTCCTGCCTCATCCATGGGCTTTTGCAGGGCTAGCCTTCTGCTCACGTGGCAGACTAAGAAGGGCCATGGGCCGCCCCAGTCAGCAGGGCCCATGTGAGCGTCGTACTTTGCTCACTGTACAAATGCCACCGGCTTTCTCCCAGGCAGCTTCGGAACGCCTGGCTTTGAGGAAGACTAATTCAAAGTGCAGCTTCGGGCCTGGAAGGGGCAATCACGAGGTGTGGGGAAGGGGGGAGGCAGGAGCACCCATCCTCCGGTCCCAGGCAGTGAGCAGTCTTGGGCTTCCACTGCCAGATTTTGCCCTCCTCCACCCATAATCCTTCCACTTCTTCCTACTGCTTCTTCTGTCTTTTCGCTTACTGCAGAGCATCCCTTAAGAAAAAAAAGGCACAACTGCTGCAAATGGTCAGTGCTGGGAGCCCCCTCTCTGAAAGCAGCCCACATGGAGGGATTCAGCACGCGCTGGCCATCCGGACTGGCACGGCTGCTCCAGAAGCCCCTGCTGCCCTTCTGCCTGCCCATCCGTGTGCCTGGGAGCATGGACAAGGGACAGACCCTCGCAGAGACAGAGCGCTCCCTGCTGCTGTATCCTGGCACCCCCCAGACCTCGGAGTCCTCCCGGATCACAGCGCCTTTCATTCTGGCACTTGGAAACAAGCCTCACCTCAGCCAGCGTTCCCTTGGCACGGATGAATTTGTAGAGGGCAGTGAGAGGGACGCACAGCATGGAGGACAGTGCAAAGCCCCAGCCAATGGCTTCTCCCCACCAGGGGTAGATGTAGGTGTTGTTGTAGATCAGTGGCTTGTAGTAGGCAACATTGAAGAGAAAGATGCCCTGGAAGTGGGTTAAAATGGAAGTCAGGAATCACAACGCTCTCGCCTGACTCTTGCGCTGCCCCCCTGCCGCTTCCAGCAATATTCCAATCAAGCTTTCCAACTCCAAATTCATAGCCTTCCCCAGCCTAGCACTGTTCAGTTGTGTTTCTCGGTATGCTGGCTGGGGCATGTGGGAAATGTTGTCCCAGTATATTTGGGGAAGGCTGCTTTAGCATGTGCTTCACATATTCAAAGATCACACCCTTGTGGGGACTAACATTGCTCATGTGCTTTGATCTCCTTGTCACCTAGCAAAAATCCAAAAAACACAAAAAGGCCAACCCTGTGTGGTCTCCTCCTTGAACATGTTGTTCATGTTCTGAGAAAATACAGTATCTCTAGAGTCTAGGGCAGCATTCCCAAACTTTTTCGGTCTGAAGACTTTTTTCCCCTGCTGTGGAACCCTAACTCTATCCCTGATTTTTACTGAACATTGTGAAACATAAAACATAGAAACATAGAAACAGAGCGAGTCAGAAGGGACCTCCCGGGCCATCTAGTCTGACCCCTGGCACCAGCCGGCTCCGCTCAAACCCTCAACCTTCTTCCTTCTTTCATCTTCTCCTATTGCCTGAGTGCTTTGCATTATGTAGTAGGTTTGAAAATAAAGAGGAAACATTTTGAATATAGCGACTGAATAAAGTGAGGATATGGTAATATTCCAAATGAATTCTTTTGATTATTCCCAACACTACGCAATAGAGTCCTGGGAACCAAATGACATGATGCATTTCTTTGCCTGCTGCTTGGATGCCAACTGACAATTGAATAGTTGGCCTTCTGTGGTTCCATTTTAAAATATGTTTTAAATTAGATTTTTGAGATTTTTTTGTGGAAGCCCTACGAGGCTTTTATAGAGCCCTAGGGTTCTGCGGAACACCATTTGGGAACTGCTGCTCCAGGGAATATTTTATTTATTTATTTATTAAAACATTTTTATGCCGCCCCATTCGCCGAAGCCTTGGGGAGGCTTACAACGATAAATTAAAAATAATTATAATATTAAATTACAAAAAATATAAACATTAAATTAAAAATACAAAAATACAATATAAAATAAGCCGCCCTGGCCAGATAAAATCCAGTAAAATTAACAGTTAAAATGCTGCTTAAAAAGGTCTTCGCCTGGCGCTGAAAAACAAATAACGACGGCGCCAGGTGGACCTCTCTGGGGAGCGCATTCCATAACTTAGGCGCCACCGCAGAGAAAGCCCTCCTCCGAGTACCTACCCTCCTAATTTCTTTCATGGAGGGTTCCCGGAGAAGGGCCTCTCCCACTGAATATTCCAGTTCTCCCCCAGAATTCTCTCCAGTTCTGGTGCTACAAGTGCTGCCACTGTGGATCACAGAGTCAATGAGGTCACTCCGACACTCAGGCAGAACTCGCTGGGAGGTTCTCTAGCAGGCCACTCCAGCCACAATCTCAGGGCTCCTATTTGTGGGCAACGCCATGTGCTGCTGCCACAATGGCCCACTGCCACCATGCTACGGCAGACACACAAAGCTTTGCTGTCTGCAACATGCCTCCTTGTGACAGAGCATGTGAAGTCAGAAAAGAGAACTCAAAATGCTCCCTCGAGTCCACACAATGCACTTGGCCATGCAGATCTCGGTTTGCCACTTTCGGGAGGCAAAGCAAAGCGCCTTTGGCCAGCTCTGGTCGCTGCTGCTCCCTTTCACAAGGAAATGAAGCAGGACCAGAAAAATCCTGTTCAAAGCTGACATTTGTAATTTGCAATTGTAATTTGAATATGGGTCCAAGGGCACTGCTGCTGGGTAGACTTCCCCCACTTGCTTCTTCCCAAGTGGGAGGGTGGCAAGGAAGGAAAGGAGCAGCCTCTGAGTGGGCCTGCACAAGCCATGAGGAAGAATGCAGAACATTTTTGCTCACAAGCAGCGACAGCTGTGGGTCTGGCCGTTCTGCGCTTTTAGTGAAATTCTTCAGGCTCAGGGGAGGAGAGCAGGGGTAACGTTTCCCCTTGAGATGGGCGTACCATGAAGAGCAGTGAGGCGGCCGCTTCAGAAAGCAGATCCGTGACACAATTAAGGGTGGCAGCAAATGCAGATCCAATCCACTACGGAGCCTGAGGCACAACATCCAAAATGGTGCACTCCTTACTAATTAGCAGGGAGCACAAAGTGCGGGGATGCTGCACCAGACAGACTTGTTGGTACTGAATAGGAGCATGTTAATTCTTGTTCTTTACAAGAAGGAAGGCTCGCAAGGCAGAACTTCCCTGGGGACTGTGCATCAAATTAACTAACGAGAATGGGAATGCATCCATGTCTAAGTTCTGCTCAGGCGCCGTACACAGTTTTGGGCGTGCTGTAGCCATGGGCAGCCTTGGAGCCCACTTCCTCGTGACACAACCCATCATTTCCTTTCACTACCACCTTTGGTGCTGAGCTACAGCTGCACCCTTCTTCTGGCCCTGTACCCATGCGGGAGTTTGTAAGTCTTGGCAAGCAAAGCTTTTCCTACCAGTTATTTCTGTACCAGGAAAAGCTTTAGCTGCTGAACTCATGGCTGCTACTGCAGGTACATGAGCCAGGTCCAGTACAAAGGGGCAGCCATCCTATTCTGAGCAGAAAAAGCTCCACCTGTTTATTTCACTCCTAGCAATCTGGTGCTTCAGCTCAGGAACTGAGCTCTTTGTGCTCCCCTGCTCATTAACAGTAGCCTGATTTATGCACACAATGAATGCTGTGCATGCACACACTTTATTTATTAGCTTTATACCCCACTTTTATCTTATAACGAACTCAAAGCAGCTTGCATCGTTCTCCTCCTGTTCTCAATCTTATCCCCACAACAACAACCCTGTGAGGTAGGTTCAGCTGAGAGCCTGTGACTGACCCAAAGTCACCCAGTTGGCTCCAGAGCCAAGTGGGGACTAGTCCAGTCCCTCATGCTTAACCAGTACTCCACACTGGCCCTCCCATTCTCAAATTCCATGCAGAGTTTTAACATGTGCTTGAATGTTAATGTATCTCCAGGAGAAGGTTTTTCCTGCCAGATTTCAGCCTGTTGCACAGATTTTCTTTCCTCTAGTCAAGAAACCCACCCAAGGAAAGGAAAAAAGCTGAGACAGAAACATGGAAAGTGTTTATGTGGCTACGCCGGATGTACCTCTCTGTCTCTGCCCCACGCTGCCCTCCCCCTTAGCCCCCCGGAGAGTTACCATGCAGATGAGAGGAGTCAGGAACATCCAGCACCACTTCATCCACGGGAAGGGCCGGTAGCCGATCATGCAGGCGATGTCGTCCATGAAACGGTCTGCGCCTGGGGGAAAGCGGGAGGGGGGCACTCGTGAGCATGCAAGGGCAGGGCGGTGTCCCTCCAGCCTCCTGCTTCCCACTGTAGCTGACCAGGTTCCCGGGAGCAGGGCCTAAGCGCCACCATCCTCCTGCCACTGCTATTCCATTGTGAGTGGTGATGCCTGTGGCAAGCCTGAGCAAAGGACTCCTGCTGCTCCCTCATGGCAGAGGGGCAGAACCTCACCCCCAAATCCAGCTTTCTGGGGCTCCCCAGAGGGCCACCTCGCCTTTCCCCCAACCACCGACTGTCCAGCAGTATCCCAGTTTCTGTGCAGCTTCCCCTCTCTTCAAAATGGAATCTGCCCCGTGGAGCGAAAATGGTTCTGTACTCCTGCTGTGCTCTAGTTTCACCTGCATCGTGGGCAACTTGTGCCTGCTCCCTCGCTCCTAACCTGCAGCAGATAAGACGGGTAGCTTTCAAGGACACTTTGTTGCCTAGGCAGCCCAGAGAAGAAGAGAAAACAGAGGCGCCCTTGACAGAATGTGCAGAATGGCACACGCGAAGTTCAGCCTTAGACCACCTTGGCTGCCTGGACAATAGCGTGCCTCTTTTGGATCCCCGCAGATTAAGCTGGAATAATCTTCTGACCCTGGATCTGGACACGCACAATCACCCAGTAGGTCAGTTCATGCGCTCAACACTCTTTAATTGCCCCACTGTCTTCCTGCTCAACATCAAGGTGGCTAACCAGCGGCAAAACGGAGGGTTCACTCACTCCTTTCAATGCATGTTTACAGGTAGTTTCTAATCTGTATTACTAACTGTGAGCTCAGCATCGGAAGGTAGTGGTTAAATATGAGATGTTATATATGTGATTGCCTCTTTCTCAGAGTGTGCAAGGGCAGGGAGAATGGGACAAAGCCCTACTTGTTGTTACTCTTTTGCATTCATATGGCAAGGAATGCAGCGGGATGCATCTACACCAGGCTGTGTGCCCGGGATTCTCATTTTGCCCTTCTCTTTCTCACTGCAAGGGCTCCAAATCTCTAAAGAGTCCTCCAGTCCTCAGGAGGAGATTTGGAGTGTGCTGGTGAGCTGCAAGGGTGAGAAGAAGACTTGGAGGTTTAAATTGCCTTTGAGTTTCTTTGTGTTTGTAATGCAAACAGGCATCCTGGCCGACACATTTTAGGAAGCAATTAAAGCAAGGACTGCTACAGAGCCTGAAGGAAGAGAACATCCTAAAGCAGCCTGAGATATATTCTTGGGTGCTTCCTGAGAGGCAGACATTGCTGTTCCACCATAAGCTAAAAGTGGAATTGCTACTGACTTTCTGCACTGCCCAGGAATACTGTGTCCATTTTGTACATTCATCCTGCTGTGTCCTGTCTTCACCAGTGCTCCTGGCACAACTCTTCAATCTTCCTCAGTGGGAGTGACTTGGACATAGCGACTGGCTTCCAGGGCAGCTGAACCCATTGCAATTCCACCATACCCTTTGCAGCAGGCACCATTTCATCACTTGTTATTTTAATATCATTAATACACTTCTTCACCCATGTATTTTAAACAATAGTAAAATAGCAGCAACATAGCATTTAAACAAAAGAATGTTATAGCTTTATATAAATATGCATATGAACAAACCCCCTGTTAGCAAGGGTGTTAAAATGGCAATGACTGAAAGGGGGGTTTAAATTATTATTTTAAATTACATTGTACACTGCAGAGATGGCCTGAAAAGTGAATACTTCTGAGTATATGCAGTTCTTTCCCTGCTCCTGCCCTCCTGATTTAATACAGATAAGCCCCCGAGAAGCTAAAGTTACAGGGCAGAGTATATGAGTTTGAGGCAGGTCCATAGCTGGTTGCCTTCCGTTTCAGAAGGTAAGTATGAAGGTTGTGTGCTCTGTGCTGCCATGTGCGCGAATGCGTGCATGCTTCTGCTGGAAAGTATAACCCAAAGCGAGGCACCCTCACAAAGTGGTACCTTACTTGAATATAGTATTTTTCTCCCGTTTCCCCCAAAAGGTCAGGAAAATTTTTTAGTGCACCCTCAACATGTGTGTACCAAGTAGTTGACCTGCATACCATGTTGACAGCTGTTCGTGTTTCACTAGCTTAATGTCAGACTTTCCCAAACAGATATAAGACTTAGTCTTACCGTAAACCCAGGCTATCACAATGCACTCCCAGAAGGCCTGCCACAGAAGTGTCGTGCCACTTGCCGAATAGTAATCAAAGAGCTGGAAAACATACATGCCCCCCTAAGGGGAGGGCCTGGGTGTGAAACAGGGCATGCCACGAGGGGAGGGCTTCTTGCTTCCATCGCTCAGCTTCCCACAGCACCCTCCTGCTCAACTTTCTTGCAACCTCAGTCCTGCAAGCGAGGCTCAGCCTGAGCACCAATCAGCTGCCAGGGACCACGCATTCTCCAGCAGCAGCCTGTGGGAACAAGCATTCTTTCCCTGCCCTGCTTTGGTGAACCCACTTCTGCTCAGGAACAATAAGGAGTGAAGGAAAGACGGGTGGGGGCAGAAGATGCTACAGGTGAGTCAGTGTATTCAGCCAGTGCTCGCTCCATCCCACACAGTCCACCACAGCCAAAGAATGGGAACAAATAAAATTACTGTCTGCCACTCTTGAATGTGGCTCAGTATCTGTTAACCCTTCTCCTTCTCCTACTCTGGAGAAGGAGAGGGGTATAAAATGGGTGGAAAGATAGGAATGGGCAATGGGAGGGATTTTGTGTTTAATCTTTATTTTATTATTGGCTGGCTTGAGTTCCATTTTTTCTGATGGAAAGGTGATAAATATCGCCTGGGATTCTCCTAGTGTTTCGAGCTCAAATGCACGGCATTTTTCCTATATGAGCAAAATCCCTTTGGATTGAATCTGGGAGACCCTTTGTGGTATATTTGCAGTCAGCTCCCAGAATGAGCAGGCATCCCCCAGCAATGGAAAAGCGATGGCTGAGTAAAGATTGCCTCTCTCCCATGCCACTTCGCTTAGCCAGTCAGTCAGGGATAGGCTCAGGTATGGAATGGTGTTTTCCGAGCAACAGTGATGGTTTGGGGATTCCCCTGCACCTGTCAGCTGCTGCGGGGGGGGGGGGGCTACATCTGGGAATCCCAGGGTGTCCTCCTTCCCTTCTTCTGGATGATGTCATGGGCCAAATACTGTCTGGCAGAGAGTGTCAATAATGTACAAGGTCTCCCTGCAGAGTGCAGCCGCTGCATCCAGCTCAGCAGCTACATTTTGCAAGCCCACTGATACACTCTGGTCACAATGCACTCCTGCCCATGGCTTGGAAACCACACTTGAGGGCCCATACCTAAAAATAGGCATGCTAACTATCAGAAAAGCAAACCTCAAATCTTTTTTTTTAAGTTACAAAATTGTTCTGGAGAAGAGAGGCAGAAGTGTAGTTATGATGTCAAAACTGCTGACCAATCAACAGTTTTTGTGCAGCCAGCTCCTGCTTCCTATTCGTTGAACAGTTTCCCCTGAACCTGGTTCTAGGGAATGATTAAGACCTTCAAGCATTGTAAATGCACGCTTAAACACAGGACAGCTCTCAGGGCAAGGGGATAAAGGTGGCTCTTGATCAGGGTGGATCAGCTGCAGAAACAAGCACAGGGTAAAGAAGACTCCTGGAGATCCAAAATCCTTGGTGGGAGCTTGCAAAAGCGGCGAGAATTTTACCTAGACTGACAACTATTCACTCCCATTTCTGCATCTGCTCCTTGATTTTAACACCAATTTCTTTCTCACTTGACAGGCAGATCTCTCTATCCTAGTCACTTCTACTTCCATGGAGGTTAGTCTCCTAAGCAATGCTATTGTTTGTTTTGGACAGTGGCATATGAGCCAAGCTGAGCTAAGCCTGATTGATTGATCAAAGCAAAGTTGTTTGTAAAGTGTCTCAGATGATTTGTATGCAAATCAAATAAGCCTTCGGGGTGGGGATCCACCAGAGTTCAGCTGCGAAGTATGTTAAATGATTGGTACTTTTCCCTGTCCACTGAAGGTAACTTCCTATGTTACACAACCAGAGCCAGTTGCTGGAATCAGAAGAATCACATGGCCATGCCTTTCGTGGACTGTAGCGATCAAGTGGCAATTCTCTGCATGCACATTAAGGAAAAGGATTCAGCCTAGATTTCTGTATGATGTGGTAATTTTCTGTGTGCAAGAATAGCAGAGCATTTAATCCCCCACCTACATCTTGAAATGGCTCAGCCCAGGAAAAGGCTTCACCACCTGGTCTACTGGATGTTATTAAAGGGCCCTCAGTAAGCACCTCTCTTGCACCTGCCATATCCTGTGCAGATTTTAGGAGCACATGCCCCCTTCTCGGTTGCCTGCCCACTGTGTGCGCTATGCAGAAACTGTCCTGTGTCCCAGGGCAGGCAAGTACGTGGGCGTGCCCGATAACTGTGCAGAGTATTAAGTGGTCATGTGCATATTATATCCGGTTTACAAGCATCTAGGGTTCAGGGAGAAGTCTTTGGGAACTGAGGGTGTGGTTTCTTGGCAAGATGGAATCCCTCATTTGGGAAATCAATGGTGCAATCCTAGACTGTTTCCAGACGAGCTTAGGTTGAGCTGAGCATGCCAGGGACTGCTACCTAAGCCTTAATGAATGTGCTTTCTTAACCGAGCTAAAACTCCTTACAAGATCTCAGTTAAGTGAACTCCTGTAAGTCCTAAGATGTTTCACAAAACAAACTCCACTAAATCTGAGCTGTTGAGTAACTTATATAAAAAGTTTTGCAAGCATGCTGCAGCTGATTTATCAGAAAGTGAAAACAGGCCTGCCTAGATTGCATCCGAGTCAGTAGATTTAAATCTATTAAAAGTGAAAGTAAGGGCAATAAGGAAGCTACTTAATGCACATTTTGTTCTAAGTATATTTGCTTGGGAATAAGAACTTCCTGACTACAATTAAATGGTTTGACTTTCATTCTGAATCTAAGTGTGGGGCAGAGACTAGAGACATCAAAGGCAGGGGAAGGACTTACTCTACGAGCAACATTAGGCTATTGTAGATGGCAATTTTTAGGTGCCATTTCAAAGAAAAGAAGAAAGAAATGAAGTGCAAAAGAATCAGGTCTAACCTATGGAATACGGCCTACTGGGAAAATCTTCTGTTCAAGGCCTGCAAAACTCCCCTCCCCATTGATTTGGATCATGCTTGTGCAAAGGGACTTCCAAAGTCCCTGTGCTGATATTAGTGAGCTTCAATCACTGCTCAGGTGCTTTTGGGCTTCTAAACACAGCTTCCTTCTTTTGGGTTGTCCAAAAGCAGCAGGCATGCACTTCATACAGCACCCAGCCAGCCAGCCGGCCAGCCATCTACAAAAACAATGCCTCCACAGCCATCATACCTCAGTCACCATGGACAGCTCGATGAAGAAGGAGACAACACAGCAGACGGCCACGGTGACCTCTCTCTGGAATCGGAAAGTGTAGGCAGCTGGGAAGAAATCCAGGATGCCAGTGATAAAGCCTTCAACGCCCACGAACTGCAAACGGCAGAGGGGAGGTGACGGGAGAGGATGAGACGCGAGGCAGTGACCTTCCCTGAATCTTATCAGCAGCTTGTTTCCTTGCTGCCCCCTTGCCTTTGCCATCCCGGGCTCTCACCTGGCTATCCAAGCCCAGGAGCAGCAGCATGAAGAAAAAGAGGGCCGCCCAGAGTGGTGCAATGGGCATCAGGGTGACGGCTCGTGGGTATGCAATAAACGCCAGCCCAGGACCTGTGTAGGAGCAAAGGAAGAGACAAGGGTAGTCGAAACTCAGGATGCCCAGCTCCCAAGCTATGACGGACAGAACTATTAAGCCATAGGCAGGGGTGTCAGGCACACATACCACGCAGGACAGAACCTAGTATCTATGCAGTCTCCTTAAATGCTCAGCATTCACAAGGCCAATGCATGCTTCTAGTCCCCAGGGCCTCTCATTCCAGCTGTAAGAGGTATGGGCTCAGTGCTTTGCACAGTTGTTTCTTCCTTTGCCTAGGGGAAGTACAGCAAACTACACATGCTTCATTTTCACGATTTACTGTAGAAGCTGGACCTGTACTGACACCACATCATTACTGCAGAGTTGATACAACCCTCGCTCGCCCCACAGTTATAGTAACATGAAACTGCTGACAGCGCTGAAATCTGTACCGGCCTTCACATTCAGCATCCAGAGAATCTCAGCTTTCACTTCCTCCACTCCCTCAACCCAAAACAAAGGCAGCTCCAGGCCTTATGGACCTGCGCCGTGTGTGCCAGTGCTGCGAGCACTGCAGGGTGAGTGGCATCACCAGGGCAGAGCTTCTGCGCTGTGAACTGCTCCTTGCCCTCCCCATGACTACTGGAGGCTGAATCGGTTGTGCAAAACCATCTAATACGATTAATTCACAGAGGACTCAGCAGTCAGCTTTTCCTGGCAAAGAACATCGATCAGTGAAAAGGAACTAATGAGGGACCCAACTGCATCACCGATCAAACAAAACACCCCCCACCCCCCACAAGCAACAACCCTACAAATGAAATAAACTTGAATATACAGAATGAATGAAGTAAGAAAAAATATTTGGATTCTGAAAGATATCTGAAGCACTGATGAAATGTGAATCCTATTTAGAGTATTAAGCAATATAAATGCAGTTTGTCAATCTGGAGTTTTCCAAAATGGGCACTTCAGAGCAGCTTTGTACAAGTTCCAGATGTGGCAGACTACAAGTTCCACCATCCCTAGCCAGCACACCTGCCTTCCTTTCATCATGGTGGCGCATGGCTAGCATTTCCCATCCAGCTCACAGACCGAAGCCAGCTTATTTTCAGCCAGGTGGCTGCATCATGTGACCCTCACAGCCTGTCCTGGATTGATGCTTTTTTTCTGGAAATGGCCTTTTCACATTATGGGGATTTTTATTTTTGTATTGCTCAGCAACAGAAAGTTCCTTCAGAACCATAGGGGCATTGAAATTTGCTTTGTGTTTGTTTTCCTTTTAAATGAATGCAGGGAGACTTTTGGTGCCAGACAGAAACTTCTACTTATCTAACTCAGGACTGCAGACTTTCAGCCATGGCTCTAGGGGAGGCCTTAAGCACTGAGAAACCCACCCTCCAGCTCCTATTAGGGTGAAACCCTCCCAACATCACCTTTCTGGCAAAACTCGGGACTCAACCCACTATCTCATACCCCCACGTGAGTTTCTGACCAGCCACCAGGGCACTCACCAGATTCGGCCACCTTGGAGATGTCAACTCCCTGTTCTGCTGCCATGAAGCCCAAGATGGAGAAGACCACAAAGCCGGAGAAAAAGCTGGTCCCACTATTGATCAGTGCCAGGATGATGGCATCTCTAGGGAGGGAAGGCGAAGAGTGAGGCCTCTCTGGAGTGGTCTATGACCAATGGGGAGGGGAGGGGAGGGGAGGGGCAGGGCTTCTAAGGCAGCTGTCAGAGTGGACAGTGCGGTGCTGGATGAAGCTCTGTTCTGGCTTCCTATCAAATGGACAGGAAAGGGGAATCTGACCAGCAATCCAATGAAAAGCCCAACATGCAGTCATCCACAGGAGCACTCACCATCTCACCAGCAGTGAGTGCCCCCCTTTTTTTTAAATTGGCATGTCACATTTCCATCCTATCTTTTTCCCCTTGCAAGAAACCCAAGATGGCTTCCATGGTCTTCTTCCTTGCTGCTTCATCCTCACAACAGCCCTGTGAGGTAGGCTGAGGGCCAGTGAATGGTCCAAAGTCACCCAAAGAGCTTCATGGCCAAGTGGAGACTAAATCCTGGGTCCCCTGACCCCCCAGCTCAACAAAGAATGAGTAGAGAGACCACACTGGCTCTTGCCACTGCTGAGATAGCCTCCAGGGATCAAATGCCAGTCTATGCTAAATCTTGGAGCTTGGGGTGTTCAGCAGGCGCATGCAACTAACCCATTGGATCGTAGTGCAGAGAGCAGAGCTGACAAGAGGAGGAAACAGAAGTGCAACAGGGACCTCAAGGGTGAAACTGCTTGCTTGCCTGCAATTCTCTTTGCAAGTGCAGTTCTGCCATGTGCCGTGCAGGTGTGGGCAAGGAGCATCCATAAATTGCTCAGGTGCCTTCCTTCGCGCTTTCCCCGCCATGCATGTTTACTGAGAAGCAAGCCCCATCTGTTGTAACCCCCCTCACAATCGAACATGCAGCTAGGGCATGGCTCGTCACGGGTAAGAAGCATGATCAGAGTGTCCTGTTCGCGTAAGGACAAGAACCCCAACGAATGTGCACGCTACGCAAGGCTGACCACAAAGCAGCCTTTGTTGCTACGCTCCAGCATAACGTCACGCCCTGTACCCTCGCTTGCTTGCTTGCTTTAGCATAAAAAAATGTGTGCGAATGGAGCTCAGTGGGTTTCCCCTATTGTTCGCTGTTATTCAAGCACCTGCATAGCCATCTGTGTAAAAGAGTATAAAAATCCTGCCTTCGATCTGCTCAGCACCACACTCTCACGAGAGCATGGTCCCTGCCGGCAGGTAAATAAATCTCTCGGTAATTCCAACCAGTCTCTGGTCTCGTCTGTAAAATCGCCCCACAACACCATCAAATTCCTTAGGCCCTGTTGCCCTGTAAGTGTACACAGGGCTTCAGTCTAACTCTGGAATGCCTGACAGTGGTGGATGACTGGGAGGCGCCTGCAATTGAGCATGTTTCCAGTGCTCTTTGGCTGCAGTGGACACAGCGCTGCAGTCAGTGGGTCCGCATCACCAGGCCCAGGAAGAATCAGATGAGGTACAGATGGAGATGGCTGTCCGCCTCAAAGCTTTTGCGGAGTCCTGGATTGCCATCCGATCTGCTGCAGCAGCTTTATAAAGCCACCCTGTTGTATCACAACTAGTGAACCAGTAACTGTACCTAACCATTAGTCCACGTTGGTATTCACATGAAGGAGACATAAGCAATTCTAAAGATGCTTTCCTTTCATAAAGATATCCATGAGCAGACATGGTATTACTATTTCAGGTCATACGGTACAGTGCTGGGATTAGACTTTACAACTGGAATAGGAAATAATGGTTGACTATTAGGTACAGCTATGGATTTTGGAGCCTGAGGATGAAAATATCCAACCTTCAGAAAGCTGTTCTCGAACACAATTGGGAATAAAATCTCTTGAGACTTCCTGAAAGTGGTCAGGAATTGCAGATAAACTACTGAAAGTATAAATCCTTAGAGACTGAGAAACCTTTTGAGATTGCATGGCTGAAAATGTGACTTCCCTGAATATACCTCACCCATTTTATCTTTTAAGTCACAGCTGAGGATTCAGCTAAGTGTGGGAACACAGGCAGAGAGTAGGAGGAAAAAGGCAGATCTTTCTTTTTCTCTGCCTTGCCTTGCTCTGCTTTAGATGTTCTAGATTAAAGTTGTTCTGCATGCAGGTCAAGTCAGTCAACTGGGCTTGCCATTTTGAGAAAAAACACACAAACACACAAATGAGCAAGCAGTACCTCTTTAGCAACTATATGGTATGTAGAACTCAGCAGATGGTGTTGTTTTTAATGACTCAGGTGGGGAACTTCTGCCCTTCCAGGTGTTGTGAGATGGCAGCTCTCACTTGCCCCAGCAAGAATGCCAAATGCTGGGAGCTATAATCCAACAACATCTGGATGACCAGGAGTTCCCCCTTCTTCTTCTATGATAGGGACAACGTACCCTCGTAAATGTCTGAAGAGCAAGCTATGGTTAAAGGCATAGCTGCATCACAGGAACAATCAACAGGTTCGGATCTTTTTAGCTCAGAGACAGGTCATTCTACCTGTTGTACATTCTACCTGCTGTGCAGCTATTAAAGAGATAGGAGCCCTGTTAGAAAAAATATATACATATATATATTAACAGTGACCCTACAGTGCATAGCATCTTCCTCCTATGCCCTGCCTGGTAGCCTGATGGTTGCACAGAAAATGGGCTCTCACTTATAGCAATTGTTGTTGAATCGGTTATAGCTGCCCAGGGCAGTGAGTGCCCCCAGTCCTATGGCATACGAGAAAAAGATTTGGGTCCCAGCATCGATCCACACCTGAGAGGGAAAAAGAAAGAGAGAGAAAGATTGAGGTATGATGGGGAGAACCCAAGAGACCTCGCTGCAAGCCTCTGCTGAATAGAGAGCCAGCTTTTCAACTGGCTCCAGCTGCTATGCTTTTAACAGTAACTTGATTTGCAGTGATTAATAAGGTCTAGATTCATAAAATGGTTTGGCTACCATTGTAGCTAGGCACCTACCTTATTTTACATAATTTATTTTATTTTATTAGTTTACTTGTGAATTGCAATGCTGAATTTCAGGATTTAAAGCCCTAACAACACACAAATATTTTTTTAAAATATATACTCTTAAAATATACTCAAAACATCTGTAAAATGAATGGTACTGAAAATCCTCAGGATGTTAATTAAAAGGGGACTCCTTATAGTTAGTGGCTCCTTTTAGCTCAAGTCAGCCAAACAAGTAAAACAGATTCCACAGACGCTTGTTCCCTATGCACCAGGATTTGTATAGCTGATGCCTGCAACTATCTATCTTGTACCCATCTAGCTTTTCCATATTCTCCTGTCTCATGGTCCCGCCCTTTCTGGTGTATTCCATTCACTCTTGCACACCAAACCACTACTAAAGCTATAGAAACTGGTTTGTAAGTTGGCCACACTACTTCAGCCTCTCCCTGCCCCACATTCCCTCCCCAACTTTCCACCTACCTGAGGGGAGGCCAGTTTGGACCAATCGGGCTTGAGATAGTAGATTATCCCATCCTGAGCACCAGGCAGCATAACTCCTTGAATAAGCAGTATAATGAGCACCACATAAGGGAATGTAGCAGTGAAGTAGACAATCTGTGTTGAGGGAGAGAAGGTGCAGGAGGGGTGAGACTGTGTAGGAAAAAACCTTCTTCTTTGCTCTCTACTCAGGTTTGGGGAGGCAAAAAAGGTGGGAGGCAGAAACAGTACTGAGTGGGGTTCCTGAAAAGCTGGGGATGCTTAGCAAAGGGAAGGGGGGATGATTAAGCAGCTCCTGGCATGGGAATGCAAAGGTGCACAAGTTTTCTACTTCATCATCATCAGTATACATTTATGCCCTATCTTTCTTCCTCTTGCAAGGAAGTTAAACCCCTTCTGTTTGACTGGCTGGATAGTATTCATTCAAATATTTATAATCTGACTTTCAAGGCACCCCACATTCATGAGGTAGTTATAAAATTTTAAACATATTAAAATTATGGCAATGACAAATTGAACCATCAGTTTTAAACATAAAATTATTTATTCATTTAGACAACTTATATGCTGCCCTTCGCATGACAAATCAATGACAGCAAAAATGCACCTTCAAGCACAGCACAATTCAGTGAATGCAATCTGGAGTAAAACCATCTTTAGTGTTTCTTGCAAAACAGGTCACAAAGTGAGCGGATGGAAGAAGTGTGGGAACAACCCAGACAGCAGATTCAGGCGGTGGCTTTTGGGTGTCAGGAATGGGCAGAAAACCAAGGTTATTTTAATGATTATAGATTTACTGCTAGGAAAGGTGAAATTTTCTGCCTGAGGTGCCAAAATAGCTTGACGATCCCTGTACATCACAAATGCATGAGGTGTGAGGTGAAGAATAGAATTTTCTTCTCCAGCAAAATGCCTTAAGTGGGGCTTGGGCAAAACAGCCTTGCAAGTGCCCAGTTGTCAGAAATTAGTGTGCACTCACACAGCTAAGGAGCGCTAAGGAGGCCTAGCTTCCTCCTTTCTCCCACTGCCAAGGTCAGGTTATCCTCTTATGTCTCCCACCTGCCACATGGGAGACCTGCAGCACTGCCCTTCGTAACAGCTTGGTGGAAGTCAGAGGGAGGACACCATTTGGAAGAAAAAGCTGCTGGGTCCTCTCCTGCTGTGCCAGGGAATTTAAGAGTGCAGGTTCTCTCCCTCCCAGATGCGGCCTCAGGTGCTCATGACCTCAGAGGTTTGAGATGCTGAGTAAGATCAGAGTTGCAAAGGACCTTTTGTTACTGATGGAAATGCTCTAGACATTGAAGAAATTATATATATCCCTCAAGAAGCTAACTTTCATCTTGCTTCTTCCTGATTGATTAATAAGCCCATGTGAGTGATCAATAGTTTCTCCCCAAAAAGGTGCTTAGGCATCAAAGCATGAAATGGCTTTCTTCTGAAGAACTGTGTAAGAAAGACTTAAAAGGGCCTAAGCCTCTGGGTAATGTGATGCTTTCCCTTCATTTCTGGCCTCTTTCTGGAGGGGTGACTACCAGAAAGAACACGGGCTTGGATGGGTTACTCTCAGCCAAGTGGCCTGTTCTTGGCAATCTCTCCTCACCCTGACCACGTGGCCAACTGTGGGAGGCTGAGCCACGTGTGTGCATGTCTGCTGAGGGCCCAAGGCTGTTGTCCCCCACCTCCAGCTGCCTGTCCAGTGAGAAATGTCAAGCTCCGTTAGGTGTGGAATTTGCTGATCAGAGAGATTTCAAATGCATGGGCCATGCACAGAAAAGAGGCACTGCACGTCTGAGGGGGAAAGGACGTGTGTGTGCGCAGAGATTTTAAAAATATGTATCTTGTGAGGGAAAAGGAGGCCTTTTTGTATACAGGAGGGTACGGCATCTGTGTCAGCATCCACGTTCAATCCCTGGCATCTCATTTAGAATCATGGGTAGCAGGGCTGAGAAAGGAAATTGGATATCTCCACTGACATTTTTTTTATTAGCAAGAACTTCTGCTACTAATTACACTGGGCTAGATGGTCTAATCATCCAGCTCAGCATAAAGCACTTTCCTAGAACTGGCACACATCTTTAGGCAGAAACCCCAAAGCCAGATGCAGATTCAGGAGTGTAATTCACACCCTGGGAGAAAATGTGCTACTTTTATTGAATCTCTTCTTGTGTTCCTTACAGGCAAGAATCCTTACATTGGTCTCAGAGTGACACAGTAGGACAGAGGTGGGCAACTTTTGACCCTTCAGATGTTTTGGCCTATAACTCCCACAATCCCTTGCCACTGGCTATGCTGGCTAGCAATGAAAGGAGCGACAGGCCCAACATCTGGAAGGCCAAAAGTTGCCCACTCCTGAGAAATTTGGAGGCATTGCTCAGGTGCTGGGTCTTACCCACTATGTGGGAAGTTGCCTCAACAGGCAGTAAGTGGATGTGAATGGCAGGTGACACCCGCAAGTTCGCTTTGACAACACCGTACAAACTACGTTAGGAAGTGTATTCCCGGCTGCCTGCTTTGAGATTCTTGCCAGTCTTATCAAAACTGTTTACAAAATACTTTGGATGTTTCAATTCAACAAGACTTCCAAATTTGCCTCAGGCAATATTTGGTAGCTGCGCTAGCTAGGAATGTATGCTAGGATTTAGTGAGGCTGACAGGAAAGTTGACTCTCAGTCCTTCAGCAAGAGGTGAAAACCCAGGCATTTTTTCTGGCTAAAAGAACTAACAGCTGAGGCAAGACTCAGTTTGACTAACAGTGACAAACTAGGAGGGAACTCTGGTTCAGGGGACACAAGGAATTGAGGGCCAGGCAAGATGGTGGAAGGTCTTTGTGCTAAAGCAGGGTCTTCAACCGGATTCATATTAACTACCAAAGTGCATGTGTGTATGCGTGTAAGCAAACTTCAGCCTAGGCAGGAGGCTGCAGAGAGCTGAGCCCTTTTGTCCTTACTCCATAACTGCTGCACCCCAAAAATATTGCCAACATCACTAGCGGTGGGGCTGCAAACCTGGAAGCAAACTCAATCCTTAGAAGCAACAAAACAGCCAGAGTACATCAGTTTCAGAGGAAAATATGCAGCCTGGGAAGGGGTTCACTAACCAAATCCAGCCTGCCCATGCTGTGCAATCTGTGGAACTTTTTGTTGTTATTTATATCCCATCATTTCCCTTCCAAGGAATTCAAGGTGGCTTACACCATTCTCCTCTTGCTCTCAATCTTACCCTCACAGCAACAGCCCTGTGAGGTAGGTTGGGCTGAGAGTCTGTATGGCCCAAAGTCACCCAGATGGCTCCATGACTGAGTGGGAACTAGAACCAGGTCACCTGAGTCCCAGGCCTGCACCCTTAACCACTACAGCACACTGGCTTTGTTCTGATTGTATGGATTTGAAAGGACCCGAGTTGCTAGTTTGATGTTAAGGAGGCCTCCTGTAGAAGCCTCAATGGACGGGAAGAGCAGTACCCATTCACAGCAATGGGGATTGTACAGGAGAACTTGCCAGTGGATTGTGCCCCACTTGAATTAGAGAGAGGAATTACAGTATGGATTTTCCACCCTAGGCACCAAAATATTTTAGACCTCTCATAAGCTTGTCCAAATTTGTACACATTTCTATTCCAATCTAGTATCTTTGAACTGCACATCCTGCCTACTGAAACTGCTTCAGCAAGAATGGAAAAGTGGCCAGGCTGAGTTCATGGGGGTGGGCTGGCATAATTTAAATGGCAGCACCCACAAGGCCGTGCACCTAGAGTGAACATGCTGGTGCCCTGTTGCTTATAATGCCACCGCCACCTCTGGCCTGAGGATGCTGCTTGCTGATGCAAGCACTAGCCAACCTGCTCTCTTATGTTTATTATGTTTATTGTTAATTAAAGGCATAAAGAGGCATTACTCTACATCAGTGTCTAGCAGTTACAGCTTTCTTCCCCCGCCTCCCTTTTACTCTAGAGTAAGTACAAGGACCATGATTTGGAAGAACACCCTAGTGTGGGGAGATGGGAGGAATGGCTTTTAGGATGTGGATAGTGCCTCTGCCTTCAGGAAGATGATGATCACCAGCGACACTTGGCAGTCGCCTGCACATCTGCTCTAATTCATCCAATCTCTCTCTCAGTTCCTGAACTATCTGCCCTCCATCCCACCAGCCAGAGTCAGGCTGTCCCCCAGGCCACCTACCTTTCCTGTGGACTTGACACCCTTCCAGACACAGAAGTAGACAAGGACCCAGCAGGCCAGGAGGCAAAGTGTCACCTCCCAGTTGATAGACCCGGGGAACTCCAAGCCTTTTGACAGATGCAGCACCTTGTTCCTATAATCAGGGAGAGGAAGCGTGAGCACTGACTGGGGTGGAGGAGAATACCTTTTCCAGGCAGGGGGTTTTGCTCAGGCTGGCCTAGATGGCCCCAACCCAGACCTTCCCAGGAGGATCAGATAGCCAGAGCAGAACAGGATGCAAATATTCCAGGACTCACTCCCAGAACTCGATGACAGGGGACCTCTTGTCAGAGAGTTCGTCACAGGTAAGGTTGCTGCTGCTGGTGCCATTGGCACAATCTTCATGCCGGAAGATTTCTACGCACTCAAGGGAATTCCAGGGGTTCTGGCAGGTCGACCAGGGCAGAGTGGCTGTGAAAGACTTCACCAGGTAATAGAAAGCCCAGGCAAGCACCATGATGTAGTAGGTGTTGCAATAGAAGACAATCACCATGGAGGCAAATCCCAGTCCTGTTTGAAGAAGTTAAATTACATAAGGAGAGAAGTCAAGGGCAATGAAACGCGTTCTGCACCAGACAACCTGGATTCTGGGATGCATGGTGCCATTAACGGTAACAGAAGTGCAAAGAGGTCTCTCTCAGACCCAGATCAGACTGGCACATTAACTTGGTCAGAGAAACTGGGAAAAGGCTACAGCTAAATGTTCAGACTGAGACCCACAGGTGAAGTACAGGATGCCTGCTCTCGCTCTCATTCTCCTCCTAATGTTCCACAGGAGTTCTGCAAACAGCAGCTGGAGGAGCAAGTTGTTCAGTTCCTTTCTTCCAAAGGTCTCTACCAGGGTTGGCAGCAGCTCCTGGCATCCTTGAACAGCTGCCACAGCCCTGACAACCCAACACGAACCAGTGCTGAAGCTTGCCTTTTGGAAGAAGAAAAAACAAAAACCCAGGGAAGCATCTGCCCCAGGTTGGGGGTGGGGGTAGCATTGGTAATGGGGAAGATAGGAAGAGAAGGACCTGATTGGCTCAAGAAGGGGAACTGCTTACCTTTGAAAAGTGGTGCAACGTTCCATACATTGATGCTCCCGGCTTTCATGAACTGCCCCAAGGAAATTTCCAGGAAGAAGATGGGAATCCCACCAAGGATGGCAATAAGAAGGTAAGGGATGAGGAAAACACCTGTGGCCAGGTGAGCAGCACAAAGTAAGCAACAGACTCATCACTTTTAAATTTCAGCCCCTGAACCTCTCTCCAAAGCTATGGGATTTATGCATGTATCCTGTACTAAAATAACAATTGCAACAGAAAACATCTGTGTGACCCAAATTCTATCATCAGTATCAATATCTGTGGCTTCCTGTCACTTTATGGAGTTGAAACAAACACAACTAATGCCTCTTAATGCCCCCTCCCCTGCATTTCCTCTGTTTAACACAGTCTCACAGTTCCATTTGGAGACATCGTGTTGGCAAGGAAAAACTGCATGCACAAATGGATGCAAAACATATGGGGGAAGGACACCTGCTAGGAGGATGGAAAACAGATAGATGATGGGAATATACTCAAGGCTCTCTTTGAATTCCATCTAATTGTCCATCTCTTTTTATTTCCCAGGGCCAGGAAAGGTCCCCCTTACATCTCTTGTGCTACCCATTTTGGCTACAAAATTTGCACTTCTGTAGGTCGTGTGCCCCAGTCCCGGCCCCTTCTTCAAACAGCCCTCATCCTTCTGTCTGAAGCACTAGCGCACCAGTCCCAGCAGTGATTGTGATTGTGATTGTGATTGACAGGCCCGGGTGTTCCTGGGACAGTGGGTCTCAGTGTGAATCACCTCCAGGGATGCTATTTATATTACAGATCTCTGGGCTATGGGAAGGCCCAAGCACTGCTCCTCTTCCTGCAAATCCCTGGCTAAGAGGATAATCTTGGGATGTAAGATCTTTCCCATGGGGATTAACAGGGCAGTGATTGGGGAACCCAGTCATTCTCGGGTGCTGAAGAAGACTTCCATGTTCTGGTGGATACAATTGTTGTTGCGCACACAGGCCTGCATAAAGTGGAAGGGCTGCAGCAGTGTGTGTGTGTTTGAATGTGACTTAGAGGGCTCACCAAGGAAGCAAACCTACATCGAAGTTCAGGTGTGAGCTCATATGACTGAATACTTCATTTTCTATTCTTTTTCTTTTCATTTAAACCCAGCACACAGAATAATGGCATGCCAGGGGCACAATTCTACCCTGGTTTTCTTCCCAAAATGCTTGTCTTTTATACACAGGAGTAGTGGGTGAGGGTTGTTTTTTTTAAAAAAAGAAAACAATGCATTTAGTCAAGTGAACCCTCACGTGGTTACGCTGACACAAAGGTTTATCACTTCTGTGACAATAGGCTTGAACTGGAGTCTTGACTGCAATCTTTTTCCAAAGGTCCAGAAGAACATTTTGATCCCCAAACAGAAAGATTCACAAAAACTAACAACAGCAACACTCCCACGACTGTCCTTAGCAGTGTCTAAAATCCGCTTGCACAGTAAAATTCCAGCTTGGTTTCAAAGCCAGAACAAGGTGCTAAAAGATGTGAATTGATAATAAATGAAAAGGTTGTCTCTGTAAACATTCAAAGTATATTTCTTATTCTGCAAAATATCTGTGCCTAGCTTCTACATAACTGGAGCTGGGGAGCATGGCTTTCAGAACAGAAAAGGTGACTTTTAATCAGATTTAATCCCTACCACTTTCTTTTACAAGACTATCAACTCTGTAATTTGTGTGTGTATCTTGTGTGTATGGGTATATTTACACAACACATGGTAATTGTTTAAACAGGCATGCCCTCTTGGCAAAGAACTCTGGGAACTGTAGTTCCATGAGAGAGACCTATGGCTCAGCATCATTTCCAAACTACAGTTCCCAGGATTCCTTGGGGAAAAGCTATGACAAATAGTTATGAAACATATATACATTTGGAGTGTATATATGTCTCATGAATTGTCTTTCTATACCATAACACTTCAGTGGCACATTAAAGGAACGGACTTGAGAAGGAGATACATATCTGCTCCTGATCCCATTGATTTTTCACTGAACTATACCTATTTGCATGGGAATGGCTTGAGAATTTTGGCTGCTGCATGAAGAGGCAAAGGTGGAGAAGGAATTCATTGCCAGTAAAGGGAAAATGCAGGAGCAAGGAGAGTGAAAGCACTCCATGACGGGAGAAATGAAACCCTGCAGACAGAAAAGATCGCTATTGTGTAGGGAGTTCACATCTGGGAGTAGTCGGTGACATCTCTCCCACTCTTGCCTTGGACACAGCTTCGTGGAGGGGACCAAGCTGCCTCATGGGGGGAGCTGGTTGCCTTTGGCTGCCCAGCATCAGAGAGACTGAGTCCAAGTCACCCGTTCTCTCGGATGAAGTCATCAGACCCCATGACAAAAAGCAGCTCTGTCCCACTCTGGTAGTTGGCACCAGCTCACACCCACAAGCCTGTTGCTGAAGGACTGAGAAATTAAGCGACAGTTTGCACATGTGAATGGGCCAACACAGAGACTAAACTACAACCAGAACTTTCCTATCATACCACAACGGAGGAAGTTCACACATCCACTGGCATGCTGGGACACACTAGCAAGTGACGGATGTGTGTGTTTCAGCCAGGCCCCCGTTGCATGGGCCTATACTGACTTCTACGCACATGATGCCAACTGGTGGCAGATTAAATCAGGAAAGGTTCCTTGTGTCACTCTCGCTTAGATGGATTATCCCAGCCTTGGAACAAGCCAACCTTCCTCCTCACCCACTTCCCTAGAAAGCACCGGCAAGTTGGGGGAAAAGTCACTCCAGGCCAGTGAGGTTGTCCAGGGAATACCTCTTTGTCTCCTGCTTTGGCCCTCACCTGCCCATGGCCCACTCTGACAGTGCTCTTTAGTCCATATTGGTCCTTCCCCAAGCTTTCTGCTTCCCTCACCAGGGTGCCACCTCCTTCGTAAACCCCCCTTTGACCGCCCAGATAATCTGTCTCCCCTCCTGCCCCTGAACTTCTATCAACTTCAGAGTGTTTTAGAATGGTTTGAACGCTTTTCCTGTCAGGATTGGCAGTCAAAAGAGAGTCACAGTGTTTTTGTCCTGCTCCTTTGACGGCCCAGGGAATTAGATTAATTTCCCAGTGCCCAGGATGGTTGCCGGATAAGCTCAGAACCTTGCTGTCTAATGGCATCAGTCATGTGGTGCTCTCATACAAACACACACCACCTCTAGGCCACTTGCCAAATTCAAGGTTTTGGCAATCCCCGAGGGTGTCAGCTCAAACTGAGTCCATTCAATGAGACTTTATTAACATGACAAGATATACAAGCAGTGTCAAAACAAAGCGGAAGGACAGATCCCAGATCTTTACTGTGGAAAGGGGAAATATCCATCCCATCTAGAAGGTGCCTAGGTAAAGAAGCTGGGGGCTCTGTACTTTTCTTTGGCACTTTGGTTTACACTTTCTATGCCTCTTCTTATGAGACTGAGTACTTTTTCCTTTCTCTCTCTTAAAAAGCAAGCACCAGGGTTAGAATCTGTTGATGCAGTCTAGACTCATCCCCTGCAAAACTATCTGGTGAAGACTGGCTCCAGAGATGCAGCCAGAAGTTTTAACTTTCTGCCGATGCACCTCATGCACAACATTCTTAATAAAAATGGTAAATGTTTGCTTTAAAGTTTCTAGTTTTCAATAAATTCTCAAAGAAAAATGCCAGGGTAAAACCCCTGGAGGGAGCAGTTGATAATACGGTGGGGATCCAAGACTATCTGTGCAATGATGTGCCCTCTGCAGTGCAAGCTGAGCCAACGTACCTGTATTTGGCTTCAAAGCAGTTGTATCTTATTATATATTTTTCTTTACTCCAGGGAGTGCTCAAGATGTCACCCATAGTTATCTCACCCTACCTACCTCATTTAATTTTCACAACAACCCTGTGAGGTGGATTAGGATAAAGAACTGTAATTCGTCCAAGGTCACCAAGTAAGTCTCACATGTCAGAATGAGGATTTGATCCCTGCTCCCCTAGTCCAAGTTCAGCACCACACCAGCTCTGCACAAATACCACAGAGAGCACTTGGCAGGAGGAAGTGTATGCAGAAGTGTCAGCTGGTCCCAGTCATTTTACCAGGGAGCTAGCCTGTGTGTGTGTGCGCATGTGCGGGAGGGAGACTTGTTGCACATTGTATCATTGCAGTTGTGATGACCCATAGTTCAAGAACTCCCTCCCCTTTAAGGCAGGATTCCGACTGCTCTTCTTTTTTCCCCTTTAAAAAACCTAACCCTAGGAGAGGAAAAAAACCCATACTTGGCATGCAGTCCATCGACACTGGGTGAAGAATGGAGTGCCTCTGAGTGTGTTCAGAGTATATGACTCCTAGTTCCTATGTTTTACCTGTGAACCCTGGTTTGGGGAACAGATCCCAGAGCTTGGCTTCAATCCTGGTGATAGCTGTCTCCTGTTTCCATGCACCTTGGCAGGTTTGTCCTTCCCCATGTGCTTTGGCATGTGCTCCAGCATCTTTTTGGGCCAATTAAGCACACCTGAATGGAAATGAATTATGTCTCGCTTCCCACGGACTCCCTCCCTCACTCTGTAGGTTAAAAATGAGCCAGTCACAGAGCTGTTTGTACCAACTATGGCCTGTAGGACAACAGGCAGGGACTGTATTAAGATGTGGCAAGCACAAGCAGGGAGTGCTCGTTGTCTGCTCAGGGTCTCTGCAGATTCGGGCAGCAAGGACTGCGTCAAAGACACCCTTGGCTCACACTCAAGAACAGTTATTTCACACATACGTTTTAATGACTTTTTAGAACTGAACACAATATTCAGGGCTTGTCTGGACCTTGAGGGAAAGCAACGCCTCTGTTTTGGACAGCCAATGAGGCATGGAGATGAGAGTGCCGGAGGAGGGCCAGGGAGACCCAGGTTCAAACCCTCACCTAGCCCCAGGGCTCACTGGGAAACCTTGGCACCTCTCTTTTTCTGTCTTACTTACCCCACAAGGCTGTTGGGAGAAAAAAAGTGGCACTGGATCATATACATGCGCACCATATATGCTACTTTGAGTTCCACGGAGGAAATACAGATACAAATATAATCAGCAAATGAATAGTAGTCCCCACCCTGAGCAACAAGCTAGATGTTATCTCAGCAAGCTTGCGCTTGGAGAATGTGGGGACAGGGAACTTATGGGGGAGTGAACGAAGAAAGAGGTGCTTAATTCCTCTGGTGGCTGCTAACCCTCCTCTGCAAATGCCCCTGCTGGGATCATTCCAGCCTCCCAGCCACGGGCTCACTTCCCATTTGCCAAGGGAGGGGGAAGTAACGTAACAAGTAGAGACAGGTAGAAGGGCAAAGTGCTCTCCACTATTTGCCAGTTCTGCTGCTTGCAGTAAGAAACCACACTGTATTTCTCATAGCACTGATTATCACCCTGAGTCACAGGCTGAAGCAGTCCTCCTGTGAGGGAAGGTGAGAGCTCAAGGGGACAGGGTGAGATCCTGGAGGCTCAGGCTGCAGGGAGGTCCTCCCACACAAGAAGTCTTATGGACATTCATGGAAGCTGTGCAAGAACACAGAGGTGGCACCCTGGGGGAAGCTGCGTGCTTGCTGCGTTCCCGTCCAGTCAATGGGGCCAGCACAGTACTTCCCTGGGGACTGAGTCTCATTTTTAGCAGCAAAAGTAAGGGTGTGTATGCATGCACTCCACTTCAGGCACAAGAATATCTTATCTCAGGCAGGCCCAGGTCTACCCAACATGCCCACGTATCAGTGGGACAGTCAGGGGCACAGGGCATTAAAATGAACCCAGATCAGGCTTAGGAGTCCAGGCTGGAGGGTGTGGGATGGCGCAGACTAGTATGCCAGACAAGGAAGGGTGCTACCGCTGTTTGTGTGGGGATGTCCCATGCTCAGGAGGCGCTGGAGAAATCCGACAAATTTGTGTTCTCCTTGCCTGGTGTGCTGCCCCTTGAGACAACTCCTGCTCACCATCAGCTGGGCACTCCTCTTTATGCACTCCCACCGTAGCTGTTCTCAAACTTGGTAATCTCCAGATGTGCAGTGCTTCAACTCCCAGCATCTTCCAGTCAGGCATTCCAGAAGCTGTAGCGCCCAGAAGGTGGCACCTTCCAGAAGTTGGCATCTGGAAGGTGCCAACTTGGGAACAATGATGCTAGGGTTTAGTCATAATTCCTTTCTCCTTTCCAAGCTGTTGCCCCATGCAAACAGCATTTCCTTCTGCAAGGTGAGGTCTGCAGTGAATTTCCTGCCTAGTTAGAGATGTGTGTGGTGGTGGAATACACAAGGCAGCAGAGTGCCAAGCTGTACCTTCCCCTGCCCCTAAGCATTGCTAGTTGAGGCAGGAGTCTTCCTTCCATATCTGTTCACAGCTCTGCCTTCCACCTGCCTGCGCTCATGTTTCAGTCTGGATAGGAGATGCTGTTCCTGGGTCTTCCATGGAACAGGCTTACTTTCTTTCACCTATTATTCCTTTTTATGGGATAATATCCTTTGTGTGTGCACCTTCCTGGCATCCCACCGCTGGATTCCATCTGTTGCCTTCAGGATTTTAACCTGGCAAGATTCCCTAAGGTTTTTTTTTTACACTGATGTTATGACTCACTCATAACATCAATGTAAACATTCATGTTTTCATTTTTCAAACGGGAGATACTACCCAGTAATCACAGACCTTGGTCTCCACTTTCTCAGTCCCAGATGTTCTTCAGACACATCCCCATAATTGTGTGTCTGGACTTCTGAAATGGGTTCTGGGGCTAACTGCTGACATGCCTGAAAGTCCACTCTGTCTTGTTCTTCTTGGGGGGAATGGGCCTTATCCTTTCCACTAAACCTTAAATTATCCTTCTTCTGTGTGTCCTTGAACAGAGCTGGACTACCCTTTAGCTTAGGATGTTCAGCAGGCAGAAGGTGAAGATGCTTAAGGTCTACCATCTCTTGTTTCAAGGCTGACTGCTTTGCCAGGCTCCCTCCCACTGGGCAGGATCAGGTCGGACTCTGGATCTCCCCTACAAGGAAGAGACCCCTTATGGAGGGTCCCCTGTCCTGGTTTCTCTACGCATCTCACCTGCTCCCCCATGACCATGAGTCAATCCATCCCTTCCTTCTACAGCAAAGCGCAGCTGTCTGATCGCTGCCTGCCCTCACCTGCCTCCTTCCTAGCTGGGTTCCGCTCTGCCCCCTCCATTCCCCCCACCACCACGTGCCGCAGACTTGCTCACCTCCCCCGTTCTTGTAGCAAAGGTAGGGAAAACGCCACACGTTGCCAAGTCCCACAGCGAAGCCCACGCAGGACATGATAAAATCCATCTGCCGGGTCCAGGTCTCCCTTTCGGGGGCCAGCAAGCCCAGGGCCGGCCCGGAGGGGTCGGCGGCCTCCCCTTTGCCCGCGGCGGGGGCTCTCTGCTGGCACATGGCGGCGATGAGGCTCCCCGTCTTTTTGTCTTGCTGTTCCACGGAGACGCTGTAAATGCCGCCACAAGCGCTGCTCTCCGACGAGGCCCCCTTGGCCATGACGCCGGGGGAGACCCCCGAGTCCCGGCCGCCCCACTCCAGGAAGATCGGGCCGATGCTGGACAGCGGGGGCAGGAAGAAGGCAGGGGCGCGCTGAGTCCGCGGAGAGCCCCCGCTTGGAAGGGGCGAGAGGGACGAGGTGGAGCCGGGGGTCTGTGGAAGGGGAGGAACTCGCTGGGGCAGGGACTCGACTCGGGGGTTTCTGCGGCGGCGGCGGCGGCACGGGGACTCAGAAACAATCCACGAAGCACTTGAAGGTCAACCTGAAAAACCTCATGTGGTCAATGGATGCGGGGAAGGGGGCTGCTGGAGGGCGAAGGTCGGTGAAGGCGGCCGAGGGGGCGCCCCCACTGGACCCCGCCCGGAGGCTCAGCCGCGCGTCGCGCAGGAGGGGAGACGGCGGTCCCTGCCCGACTGCGGCGCGCCCGTCCCTCTCGGCTCCCCTCGCGCTTCTGCCGCTGCCGCCGCTGGTGCCGCCGCTCAATCGCCGCCCCTTCGAGGCGGCTGGAGAAGCGCCGCGTGACGTCACGCGCCCGGCCTCCTGCGCTCCCTGCCGCCGCCGTCGCCGGGATTCGCCGCCCGCTGTCCCTCCACGCTCCGGCGCCGCCAGCCGCGGGGAGGGGGCGGAGAGGACGGGTGGTGGTGGGGGGAATGGCCGGGTGCGGTTGCAGCTGGGAGGGGTCTTTCTCTCTTTCCCTCCCCTCCCTCCCCTCCCCACCCCACCCCACCCCACCCCGTGCACCTGTTTCCTGGTGTCTCTCGTGCATAATGTTGTTTGCATTTATTGACTGGGAATATTTTTATCCTGCTCTCCGAAAAGCTATGTTTGGACGTACATTATGTCCAATGTATATGCTTTCATATATAGAGAGAGTGATGCTAATTGGCGGCTCCCAAACAAATTTAGCTGACCGATTAATTACGAGCACGGCACGTCTGCAGCGGAGACTACGTTCTGAATGAAGCTAGAGAGCCATCCCCGTACGATCACACTCTATAATTGCATGCGCATGGCTTTACATAGACGCGCAAGTACGTTCAGAGCGTCAGCTCGCCTGCAAAGCCATGCCCTGCAGAGCAGCGAGCGGTCTTAAGCGTAGTTCGTCCGTGAGAGCAAGAGAAAACTCTCAGCCCAGGCAAAGGGCTGGAGTTCCGAATTTTGGAGGCCATCTGCCCTGTCGCTCTGCTGCCTGAGCGCGCTTGCTGAAGCAAAGGTAAACGATCCTGCTGGTCTTGGTTGCATTTGATCCCCTGGATTAGCTGGCTCTTTGCCCACACGCGATTTACCACCTGCTCCTCCACCCAGTCTTTCTATCCGAGTGTTTTTTTTCCCCCCCTGAAAGCAAGTTTCTCGACCACATACCCTTTTTACAAACCGGTGCCATTAGGGAATCGGGTCCTTTGCAATTCATGTTAACACACACGGACTTTAGAGCCCCTTAGATTAACATATGCAAATTTGTTTTTGTTTTTGTCCTGTGGACCTGAGTCGCATATCTTTTTCGTGTCTAGCAGCCCCCTGACTCAGAGACATGGAAACAGATGCAGAGGGAATAAAAAAATATCTCGAAAGAAATCTGCAGCATTCACCCGTCTTCCCAATGTTCTCACTCCAATGCCCACCTGGGATGATGGCAGCTGTAGTCCAGCATATCCAGAGGGCAGCAAGGTTAAGCAAGGTGGATTTAAAATGTTACATGGACAGTGCAGGGGGCGGCTTTTGAGAAGCATCAGGAAAAGCAGCCAGCTAGTACAAAATGTTGCAGCTACAGCGGCACAAGGTACTTTGGATGTGCTATTACCACTGCTTTGTTTGAGCTTCACTGGTAGCTGTTTCCAGGCTTCTAGGAACAGGAATATTTTTTTTGGTGGTGGCACCTATTGACCCGCACGTTGTACTGCTTTATTTACCTGTCCAAAACATGGCTGATCCTGAAGGCTGACTGCAGAATAATGTTGTGTGTGTTGTGCTGTTTTATTCAATGTATTTTTAAACTTTGGCACATGGTTGGTTTCATTTTCAATATATTTTTGAGTTGCACCTGGAGGAAAAAAAGTGGGACATACGCTTTGAAAATAAAGTACATCTAGAAGTGTTCTCTCTTGCATCTTAATCCTCGTTCAACATATTTAGCCTCCTGGGATTAAAGTGGACTTGCTTCCTTGTAAGTATATTTTGGCCATCAATATATTGGAACCTCCCCTGCAGCATCTGGCATATTATTATGGTTTGTGCCACAATAAATCTGCCATAACATAATCCTACCCGTGTCTACTCAGAAGCAATCCCCATTGAATTCAATGGGGTGCAGAATGTGGCCACAATCCCAAGAAGCATGTGCTGGTTCCTGCCAGTGATGCATAATGAAAACTCTTTAGCCCTGTTCAGAAGCCCTCCCTTGCCTATTTCTTCTGGACTTGATGGACCACTCACAAATCTCATGCCTGAGAATATGCACACACCTACCCTTTGTACCATCTCTGTTCTGCTTTTACTTTTTCAACATGCAGCAGTGACTGGGTGGAGGATTGCTGGCAATAAGGAAATGCTGGATTTATACCAAGACCTTATACAAACAATCACGTCATCTGGACTCTCTCCCTATATCCTGTGCTCTGGAGCGGGGTACAGATGGTGGATCAGGTGGTTTGGACTTCAGCACCTGGCATCTCCCACCATTGGCCATGCTATCAGGGGCTTCTGGGAGCTGAAACCCCAAACATCTCCTTCCAGCCCTGCCCTGGCCAGGAATTTGTGGCCCCCTGGAAGCTGTTTGGGTCCAGCATAGCCAGTGGGAGTTTCAGTCCAACATCTGAGGACCCCACCTTTCCCATTCCTTCTCTAGAGAATCACAGGAGTCAGCATCATATACAGAACCCAAGACATCCAATGGTAAACTCAGATTTGTTTGTGAATGGAAAACTTCACAGGCAAGGTTTAGGCTGCCATCCAAAATACAGGGGTGGCGCTCTCCTCTGCATCAGGGTGGGCAGCTTGTGGCCCTCCAGACATTTTGACCTACAAAGCCCACCACCCTTCACTATTGGCTATGCTGGCTCGGAATGATGGGAATTGTAGGGTAAAGCATATGGAGGACCGCAAGTTGCCCAGTCTTGCTCTGTGTGTCCATTCCTCAGTTGAGTTCCACAGAGCTCGGTGTTCACTCAGAATAAACTTCTGAGTAGGAAGGCCTGGAGGAATGTTGCCCATGGGGTCGCAATGGGTTGGACGCGACTTCGCAATGAACAACAACAAGGCATGCAGAGAATTGCACTGTAACAAACACAATTGTGGCATAGTCCATTTCGTATAATAGCACGTATTGTGGAGAGTGGCTGCAATGGTGAAATAAGCTGAAAGTGTGCTTTTCAGCAAAGGCAAGGGACAGGAGGGCTTTAATCTGTGAGGACTCTTAGTCATATTTGACTGATTGTCAAGAGACTTTTCAATGACATTGTCCTCCTTTATTGTGTTCATGAAAAATAACTTCAATTCGGACTTTTAACCAACTCAGTGCAAGCTGTGTATGTTTTGGTTCTGGATTTGTATTGTATTATAATAAAAAGGGAAGGAACACAAAATTTATTTGTTTAAGGTATTTCTTAAACAATTCAATTAAAGGTTCAATTAATTTCCTTTTGTGGTGGAGGTGAGCTCAGTACCAGTGGCCCTACCTCTCCTTCCCAGCCATACACCCCTTCACTTGTCACCCACTTGTTTTTCAGTGGCTTCTTGTCTTTGCAGTATTTCATTTCTCACGTGATCCTTTACCCAATCCTGCATGTTGTTTGTGTGATCAGTTGTTTCTTAGACTGTCTTTACCTCAGAGCCATTTTATTTTTGCACCAAACTCCCCTGCAAGTCTGTGAAGTGATCCTTGAGCACAAGAGGACCCTGGGCTCTTGGATCACCCACAGTTGGGGAGCAGCCCAGCAGTCCCCAAATTTTTGGTTTGATGAGCACATTTGGAATGCTGAGTAAATGTTGCAGGCACTCTCACAAAATGGCTACCGTGGGACGCTTGCACATTCAAATATTGGTTGCAAGCGTATGCATGCTTGGCCACAGAATGTTCATTTCTTAGAAGACTGCTGAGACAAAACAAAAGCAACTTGTCTGAGAACTTTGTCTGCAAAGGAACTGAGATCTGCTTTCAGAGTTTGCTTCATTACTTTATCTTGCTTTCTGTTTACCAAGCTACCTTAATTGTTGTACATGGACTTTCCTGACTCCATGTTTCTATTTCCTTCAAGTTTCTGTTTTGATTTCTATAGAAGGGGGAAATTATTTGGGTTGGAGAACTAGAAGCACCAGCAAATCAGACAACCAAACTAATCAAATTGAACAAACAAAAATTAATAAGCTTGACTTGCTCAGTTTTTGTGCCCTCTGGGACAAATTTCTGTAATGTAAAAAAGAATTTGGCACTAGTGACTCAAATTCTGTAAATAAAATTGGAGTTTTTTTTAATTTATGGGGTTTGCGAGCATATAGGGAGAAGCATTTCCACATAGCATGGAAATATGCCTGTTTGAGCTATACTGGATGAGGTAGGCGCTGATGCATGGGACTTTGATGCCACAATAAACATCTTAGTTTTTATGGTACCACAAGGTTACTTGATGTTTCTACTTGATCTTTGTAACATGCACGCACATGTTCACATGCACACAAGCCAGGCTATTTTGCTCAGCACGCCCCAGAGCACTTTCCCAGGCTGCTGAGCAAGTGATTTCCACATGCAATTTCTTGGTAACTGTAGAATAATGCAGGCAGAATGAATGGTGACGATAATGTGGCAACTTGGCAAAAGCAGCTTTCACGCTTACTTCATGTGACATCTCCTTTGAACCATGATTGAACGCAAAGAGGAGTTCGGCCTGCTGCATTGTGCGATGCAAGCCGCAAGGACAAACTGAACACTTTGACTGTTAGGCTCTGCCAGGTTCCTCTCTCTGAGTCCCAGAGTCTTGGGTCCACTCCAGCATCTTGTGGACTTAAGAGCAATCCAACAGGTAATACCAGGGATCAAAATAAGGCAGGAGTCAGGAATAGGAGAATGGCTGACATAATGGCTCCCCAGCTTTATGCGGTTGGAACACGTTTTCATACTGGGGATAATGGCAAGTTTTTCTTCCCTTTCTAAAACACTGGAGTGGTTCTCCAATGCTTGCTTACTGGCACTAATCAAAAGATGCTGGCATTTGGGAATTTTGGCTCCTTCCCCTTTGTTTTGGCCCCACCTACCACCAGATTGCAATCCCAGTAGCTTCTCAGAATTTGAATTTGGCCTTCAACCAGAAAGAGTTGCTGACTGCATACCTGCATCCACCTCCCCAGTCCATCTGGTTACTGTTATAAACACTCTTTCCGTCGGAAGAGAAAAAAATTCCAGGCTTGCAGAGAGTTCTTTTTAA